GGGCGGATGCATAAAGCAGGATGCATTAACGCAGCAGAACTTTGGGGGAGGACCAGGGAACCCTCTGCTGTGCTCTGCCTGCGGTCAGAGCTTCCTGGCCGAGGGGAGCCCAGGGGTGCCAGTGACTCCCTATCCCTCCAGGCACGTAGGGTTTGTGCAAGTGCTGTATTTGATTCCAGTAAGAAGTACCGTCAGGCTCAGGCAGCAGGGAGAGGAGAAGGAGCTCCCGAGCCTCCACCAGCCCCGTTTAGGTGAGGCGGATCCCGAGCACTTGTTCCAGTTCCTGCCGACGCTGCTGGACCTGCACAAGACAAGGGCAGTCAGGCAGGGAGAGGGGCTGCCCCACAGACCCCCCCGCTGCCATCCCAACCCACTGCAGCACCCCCTGGGCACATTCCGGAGCCCACCTTGGCGAAGATGTGTCTGCCCACAGCCTCCTGCGCCCAGGGCTGCTGGTAGAACTCGGCTCGCCGTTCCTCCTCGGGGTTCCCAATCACGTCTGTTATGATCTGAGCGAAGCACGGGGTGGGGGGAACACGGGGTGAGCACCGGGGATGGCCCCTTCCCCCCTCCCAGCCCCTCACTGCCCAGCCCCAGGGTTTCACCTTGAGGTCCCTCCTCTGGGATTTGATCCATTCCTGGATGAAATCCTGCGGGTTGTTGCTGAAGCTCAGCATGAAATCGCGCTGCGTCTTCAGCTGGTTGATGGATTCAATGGTCTCATGGATCTGGGGAAGACGACAAGGGGTCAGAGACAGCTGTCCCCCTTCCCTAGAACAGGACACAGCTGCCCCCCAGCTCTGCGGTGCGGTCCCAGGAGTGCCACCCCAGCTGAGCCCCCACTGCTGGGCACAGCTGACCCCTCGCAGGGGTCTGGGTTGCCCCCACCTCCCACCTTGGCATCCAGGGAGGCGATCTCCTGCTGGTTGGTGGTGGAAGCCAGGAAGTTGCTCATCTGAGCTTTCAGAGGATCATCCACCTCCACATCAATGTCGTAGCAGGCCGTCTTCTTCTGGTCATTGGGGTCCACACTGGGAAGAAACAGGGTGGTGGTGGGGGGGGAAATCCTCAGCCTCCACCCTGATGGAGGGGTGGATTGACCCCCCAACAGAAACACAACTACCCCACAGACTGCCCCAGGGAGCCCCCGATTTGTTAAGCTGATTCTTCGCCTCCCGACTGAGTTGTGCTCACTGCTGCTTTGGGCTGGAGACCTCGTAGACTCTGCAGGTGCTGCCCTCCTCCTCCTCCTGCACCCCACTGGGGAGGACATTCCTGCCCCTCCACCACACCAGCCCTGGGGAAACACTGCCCAGCGCACCCTCCACCTCTACCTGATGGTGTGGTTGATGATGATGGGATCTGGGTGCTGCAGGAGCCCTGCCAGCTTCATGGGGATCTCAGAGAAACGCATGCGGACGCAGTTAAAGATCTGGAAGGGCAGAGCAGAGCGTTAGCTGCCCACACCAGGGGCTCCTTCCACCCATCACAGAAAGGGCCAGGCAGGAGGTGGGGAATCACCCAGCCCTGATTTGTGCATGGAGAGCTGATGGATGCAAGCCAGGGCCTGGGAAAGGGGCATAGATTGAGACTGGGCAGTCTGGAACATCTGTTTGAGCCAGAAAAAGATGCTTTTTCTGGCCTTTCTGGGGGTGGGAAGGGTGCTCTCCTCCCAGCCAAGCGTGCTGGCACGGCGGGGCGAGGGCTGACCTGGCGGAAGTAGCGGTTGCAGTTGATGTACTCCTTCTCGTGACTGTCCTGCAGCTTGTTGTGCTTGATGTAGAGCCAGAGCGCCTGCATGATGCTGGCACGGGTCTGGGTGTGCACCCCGAGCAGGCGAGCCAGGCGAGGGTCCAGTTTGTACTGCGGTGGCTGCAGGGACAGGCAGGATGAATCACAGGATGGTTTGGGTTGGAAGGGACCTCCAAGATCATCCAGGTCCAACCCCCCTGCCACAGGCAGGGCCACCTTCCACTACACCAGGTTGCTCAAAGCCTCATCCAACCTGGCCTTCAACACTTCCAGGGATGGGGCAGCCACAGCTTCTCTGGGCAACCTGCTCCAGTGCCTCAGCACCCTCAGAGGGAAGAATTTCTTCCTTAGATCTAATCTAAACCTCCCCTCTTTCAGTTCAAATCCGTTGCCCCTTGTCATTATCACTATATACCCTTTTCCAAAGCCCCTCTCCAGCTTTCTTGTAGCCCCTTTAGGTACTGGAAGGCTGCTGGAAGATCAGCCTTCTCTTCTCCAGGCTGAACAGCCCCAAAGGGGCTGGCACTTGCAAGGGCCCGTCCTGTGGATCTGCTGCCCCTATGCAGCCCTTGTGTCACACACTTGTGTCACCACAGGCTGCAGGGTCTGTGCCTGGAGCTCTCTGGGTTCTTTTCCCTCCCCACAGCCCCCCCAGTGGCCTCATATTAAGGCTCTGCCCCAGCTCAGGCCCGTTTGCCCCCAACAGACCTCCCAGGTGCTGGCGGAAGGGCTGCAGGGCACGGCGGTCCCCTACCTGGTGATCCAGCATGAGCAGCAGAGTGCACTTCACATTGACGTCGCCGGGACGCTTCACTTGGAAACCGTCGGTCTCCTGGGTTGTGGGCAGCCGGTGCCACTACGAGAGACCAAGGGGACACTGGGCAACTCCAGGACCATGACAAAGGCACCTGCTAACAGGGTTCGGGTCTGCAGCCAGGAGCAGAGCGAGCCGGTGCTGGGGCTCTGCGCAGGGCTCTAACAGAGCAGACGGCCTGGATCCCACCCAGGCAGATCCGGGAGTCTGGCCCCAGTGGACTTCAGCGGAGAGCCCACCCGCTCCGACAGACACCGCTTGATGTGCTCCAGCCCAGAGGCGGATGGGAGTTTGGGTGGGCTGGGGTAGTTACAGCCCTGAACACTCCATGTCCAGGGCTCAAGCAGCTCCTGGAGTCCGTGCAGGACCAATCCTGCCTCAGCCAGTACCGGGGCTGAGCATCGGAGCTGCTCTCACAAACCACCCCACGTGTAAAGGGGATTTGCCCCCACCGCAGGCACCACCACAGGAACAAGTGTTTCTTGGGGCGAAGAGCAGGAGCTGGGTGCAGGGAAAGCACCGCTCCAGGCAGGAGCACCCAGAAAACGTCCCCTCCCACTCACAGGCTCTTCATCTCCCCGAGGGCCTTCCAGCCAGGCGGCAGGCTGGGAGGCAACAGGGCAGACCCTTCACAGAAGGACAGAATGTCAGGGGTTGGAAGGGACCTCAAAGGATCATCTAGTCCAATCCCCCTGCCCGAGCAGGACCACCTAGGTCAGATCACACCAGAACACGTCCAGGTGGGTTTGGAACATCTCCAGAGAAGGAGACTCCACAACCTCTCTGGGCAGCCTGTTCCAGTGTTCTGTTCCCCTTACTGGGAAGAAGTTCTTCCTCATGTTTAAGCGGAACCTCCTATGTTCCAGCTTAGATCCATTTCCCCTTGTCCTGTCATTGGATGCCACTGAGAAGAGCCTGGCTCCATCCTCATGACAGTCACCCTTTCCATATTTATAAACATTAATGAGGTCCCCCTCAGTCTCCTCTCTCCAAGCTAAAGGGAC